AGGAAATGCCACAAGTCAGACTGAACTGTGTACCTTCCTCACCAGAGGTTAGCAGGGCTCCAGCTCAGTGTTTCATCTGTAGATGAAGAAGCGCGTAGCTTCTAAACAGCAAGTAGCCATTGAAGACATGACTGGTAACTTCTGGATTGTTCCCTCTATCTGTTGTCATAGTCTATTGCCATGTGTGGATAAAGAAGATGAGTCTGTTTTCTGTTCAGTAACATTTTTCTAAGGCCTTAAATAGCTTATAATTTCTGCCTGATATATATTAAATAAATGAATGGAATTGTTATAGAAGGAAAAAAGAAAAAGCACAATAAATGCCTGCTGACTTGAGCCCACTGCCTTAGATGCCAGCTAAGACTGCTGTTTCTTCTTGCTGTGCTCACATTTTCCTTCCAAATACAATCATCCATCCTCAGTGACTAACCTAGACAATCATCCATCCTCAGTGACTAACCTAAAGCACCTGTTGGTTTAGTCCAGGCTTGCCTGGAACTGGCTATGTAGTCCAGGCTGGCTTCAAACTCATGGAAATCCTCCTGTTTCAGCCTGAGTGCTGGGTCAAAGACCTGTGTGGACCCGAACAGCAAATGAACTGATTTGCTTCCATGAAGCTACAGAGATGTACCAACACAGGGTGTGACTACCAGTCTACATCGCTTAATCTTACACAACTGTGTGTAACTAAAATAAGGCCCTTCCTACAAACTCGTTTCCTCTTTATTAAAGTAAGAAAAGAGAAAATCTGAACTACCGAAAGGAGATACTTCCTTAATTAGCTACCATGCCGTAAAAAGAAATGAAACTGGGACAGTAAGTTGGCTCAACAGGTGAAGGGCACTTGCCTGGCATCTGCTGACCTGAGTCACCCCAGCTCCCACTCCACGGCGGAAGGAGAGGGCCAACTCCATCAAGCTGTCCTACACACAGAGAGACACTGAAAACATAAAGATGTGGTGGTACACATCTGTAACTCAGAATCCCTGCACTCAGGAGGCTGAGGCAAGGGGTCACAAGTTCAAGGGTAGCCTGGGCTATACATAACAAGCCCCACCTCACCCCCGCCACTGCCCATACCCCCTTAAAAAGATCAAGCAAGGAGCTGGCGAGATGGCTCAGACGGTGCTTGCTGTCCAAGCCTGATGAACTGGGGTTGAGCCCCAGAACCCAGAGAAGCAGAGGCAGAGAGCTGACTCCTGAGGTTGTCCTTTGACCTCTCACATGTGTGCTGTGCCTTGAGTGCTCCCAAATAACAACAACAATAGTAACAATCATACCCATAACAATAACAATTTAATTTTAAAGTAAAGAGGCTGGAGAGATAACTACTTGCTTAAGGGTGCTTGTCGCTCTTACATAGGGTCTGGGTTCCTAACATCAGGCAGCTCACAACTGCCTGTACCTCCAGGTCCAAGTGATCCAATGCCTTCTACCGCCTCCCAGGGCACATGCACACACGTGGTGCACATAAACACAGAGGCACACACACATACACAATAAGTAACTAAATCTCTTTTTAAGAAGATTGGGGGCCGGGCAGTGGTGGCCACATTCCTTTAAAGCACAGCACTTGGGAGGCAGAGGCAGTGGGATCTGTGTGAGTTCGAGACCAGCCTGGTTAGGACAGCCAGAGCTACACAGAGAAACTCTGTCTCAAAAACAAAAACAAACAAACAAAAAACACCCCACAAAAACAACAAACAAAAAAAAAGGAGGGGGTGGAAAAAGAAGGGAAGAGAAGAGAATCTGAGCCATATGATCAACTTTCTTTTTTCTTTTTTTTTTTTATTTATTATGTATACAGCTACAGTGTTTTGTGTACATGTGTACCTGCAGGCCAGAAGAGGGCACTAGATCTCATTACAGATGGTTGTGAGCCACCACGTGGTTGCTGGGAATTGAACTCAGGACCTATGGAAGAGCAGTCAGTGCCCTTGACCTCTGAGCCATCTCTCCAGCCCCATGATCAACTTTCTTGGGAAACAGAGTACTGTCTACAAAGGTGCCTAAAAACTTTTGGATGGTTCTTATTGGTAGGCCTCGACCTGAGGCTGGTTTCTAGTAACAATTAACCCATATAAATCTGATCAGTGGTAACTATCAGTCAAGTGCCTTATGTCTTATTCTTTCATACATATTTTAAGTAATCCTCAACTCAGCAAGGCAGAAATATTTCACAAGTGAAGATAAACTTAGGTCTCCTGGATGGCAGGGTCTACGTCCTGGTCACTTCTCCACAGGGTATCAGCTTTCTCTCTACAAGCATCTTTTAAAACCAGTTCAGTCACCTCTCCAACTGCAGAAACTAAGCTAGCCCTAGACCAAGAGCCCTGAGTTATTGATCCCTTAGCATGTGGCGGGCGCTGTGCTTGGAGCCCTGTGGGATGGGAGAGGACGTTCGGTGACACCCTCCTCCACTCCACTGTGAAGAGGCAAACTTCCCAACATGCAGACTGGCAATGGGCAGGCCTAATTACCGCTGGTGAAAGAGGACCCTGATTAAGGGAGGGCTGTCAGGGAAAAGAGCTGATTTACCAACACAGCCCTCTTCTCCTCCACAGCTACAACTGGTGTCCAGTCCACAGATGGAAGCCTGCAACTTCCCTGCATGCCCCTCCCTCTCCAGAGAGCAGCCAGATGCTTAAAACTCTTACCAATGATTAGGACGGGCTTCAGAATAACACCCTTCAAAAGCTTTCCATCCACTTAGCATCCAGACTCTGCTGCCACTGAAGGCCCACCCCCCTCTCTGTTTACCCCGCCTCTTCCCTCAATCACTATACTCCAGATACAGAGGTCTTTCAACTTCTTAAATCTTGCCAACCTCCCAGCCACCCCCATGCTGATCTCCCAGGCAGGAACAAGCCCCCCAAAGCTGGTTCCTTCGAAGACTCAGTCCAAACTGGAAGAGTCAATGAGGCCTCTAAACATCCTACTCAACAGCACCCTCCACTCACTGTGACCAACTTCTCCTGTTTAACGCTCCTCACTGACATCTCCAGAATGGTTCGTTCCTTCACTTAGTGTCGTGCCCGCCCCCACTAGCTCTCTTTCAGAGAAAGGGTCTCTCTTGTTGGTCAGGTTGGCCATGAAACTGCTCCATAAACAAGGATGACCTTGACCCTCTTGCCTCTCCCTCCCAGGTGCTGGGTTACAGGACTACAGGGACATGCATAGCCAGTACCTTGTCTCTCTCTTTAAAGTGGGGGCTGTTTGGTTCCCCTCTATGAACTTGACTGGATGCTACCTGTGCTCAGAAGTTCCAGAGTGTTTGCTATTATCGAGGAGCATCCTCAGGATAGACCACCTTTTTTTTTTTTCTTCTGAGACAGGATTTCTCTGGCTGTCCTGGAACTCACTTTGTAGATCAGGCTGGTCTCAAACTCACAAAGATCCACCTTCCCCTGCCTCCCCAGTGCTGGGGTTAAAGGCGTGCACCACCACCCACAGCTAAGAATAGACCATCTTATGAGAAAACATCAAGCAGATGTTTACAATGTTAGTTAAGCCCCTACGATATGTTGGGTATTATAAATCCTTCCAGAAGGGCAATCCACGAGTTCACAGTCCCAGAACAAACTTCCCTGGTGACCTTCTTGGTTAAATAATTGTTTGGATGACTCCTACACCCCTCTCACCTTTGGCCCACTCTCCAAAGAAGATCTGCCACTCTATGATTCATGCTCACATTGCTGTGACAAAAAGCAGAGCATTTTGACATTCTTTACAGTCACTAAAGCACTTTCACATTCATTTCCTTATGAAAACTACAAGGCACTTTCCTAGACAGACTCACAACAGGAAGTAAGGATGCCGTCAAGTATCAATCAACAACAGCACTACATCGGCCAATGGAGGCACAGAGTCCTCGTACTTCTGGTTCAGGAGGGACAGGAAAGTGGTGAGTCACAGAGGGTAAGGCTTACAATAAATACGGAAGCTCCGAGGAGGCCTGGATATGAGGCAACCAAAAGAGAATCACAGGACTAGCAACATCTTGGGCCTCAGAGGCCAGATCCTATCGAGCGGATGCGGAAACTGAGGTCTCAAACTTGTTCAATTCCACTCAACAAGTGAAGAGAGTGGGTACCAGAGGGTCTCCTCACTCCCCAACCCCCTTTTCTCTCCATAAAGGAGGCTTTTCAAGAAGACTCCCGAGTCAGAGGCCGAAGGCAGCTCAGGCTCCACCAAGGGCTCGGAGGAGGGCAGAGGTGGACCGAGACACACATAAATGACAGGGTGGGGAAAAGAAATGAGCCAAAGTGGGGGTAGATGGCAGTGGCTGGGAAGGAGGGTGAGGCCACAGGGAGCAGAACGCAGTAAACAGAGTGGACCAGCACGGAGTTACAGTGCTGTGAGATCTGGGTCAGAAGAGGCCCGACCGGGTGGGGAAGAGTTTGGAGGGAGTCTGATGGTGGAAGTGAGCCTGCTCAAGGAGACACAGAGGGAGTCCGGTGGAAAGGGGTCCCGGGCCGGGAGAGGCACCGAAACAAGTCTGGCCCAAGAGTTCCAGGGCTCAAGGAGACCCCGAAACGAGTCAGACAAAGTGCAGTCCGGGCCTGGGGAGCCTCAGGAGGGGCAGTGGAGAGTCTGATGGGGCCAGGGCCGCCTCACCGCGTTTGTTTTTGGTGCCATGCTTCTTGGCAGCAGTCAGCTCCTGTTCGATCTTCTTCTCCAGGAACTCCTGCTTCTTGCTCAGCATCTCCTCCGTGTCCCGAAGCCGCTGGATGGCCTCCTGGGGGGTCGGGCCGCCCTTGCCCGCCTTACCCCCTCCAGCCCCGAACAGCTTCCCGAACACCGACATGGTTGCTGCTCGCCGCGCCGGCCTCCCGGCGCCTGCTCCGGCTCGGCTCGGCTCCGGCGCCCGCTCCCGGCCCCGCCGCTCCCCGCAGCCGCAGGCCTCGCCTCCACCTCCGCCCCGCAGCTGGGCCCGGCCGCGCCACCTCCCACAGGCCCCCACGCCCGGGCCCGGCCGGCGTCAGGGCAACGCGCCGCTGACTACAGCTCCCAGAACACCACGCGCCCGCAGCCCCTCGAGTCTAAGGGAGGACCGTGCGCTGCACGCCGGGAGTCCGAGTCTTCCGGCTCGGGGCGTACGACGGCGCACCTTTTTAGTCTCGCCGAGGTCAAAGGGCGAGGTGGCATGCTGGAAAACGTAGTCTCCTTGGAATGTGTTCTGTAGAGGCGGGAGAACAGGAAGAGAAATAACTATTACAAAGAGAGGGATTCGTTGTATTGCTCCGTGGTAGAGGCCTGGGTTTAACTCCCAGTCCCCAAAGCACATGATCACATTGGATTCTCATAAGCAGTTTATGACGGATAATGCTGTCCCTGCTTTGGAGCCAGGTTTTCATGTAGCCTAGGCTGGCCTTGAACTCCCTATGTAGCAGAAGCTGGCCTCGAATTCTTGATCCTGCCTCTGCTTCTGGAGTATTGGAAGTACAGGTCTGTGCCAGCCTGTCCCGCCTGCTCTTCCTATTTTTATGGGTAAGTGAATCAAGCTCTGGAACCGACCAACTAACTAGCTTAATTTACCGGCCCAGTTGGTTCTCTCTACTTGCGTTAGTGGTCTTTCTACCCTTTATTCACCTAGCAGACTTTCCAAAACCGAAGAAGAGTTAGCCACCTAAGCAGTGGGTTCAAGTGCAAAGCTTCAAATCAGCCTTGAATACTGACTTGGGCAGTTACTTCTTCCTTTCCACAACTGTAAATTTGATATAGTCACAGGTCCTCTTAAAAGTGAGATCGGGCCGGGCATTGGTGGCGCAAGCCTTTAATCCCAGCACTCGGGAGGCAGAGGCAGGCGGATCTCTGTGAGTTCGAGGCCAACCTGGGCTACAGAGTGAGATCCAGGAAAGACGCAAAGCTACACAGAGAAACCCTGTCTCAAAAAAAAAAAAAAAGTGAGGACAGGGTCTCCATGTGTAGCCCAAGCTGCCCTCCAACGTGATCCTCCTGCCTCTGCCTAGAGCCTCCTGCACTGCATGTTCTAGGGATTCTGATCATGGATTATTACTGAACCAGAAGGAGAGCCTAGCACTTTCAGAGTTAGCATAAGGGTCAGGTGTGGGGGCACACATGCCTGAATTCTCACCACTTTGAGATCCAGAGTCCAAGGTCATTCTCTGCTACATAACAAGTTCAAAGCTAAGCTGGAATACACGGAACCTAAACTTTGTCTGGAGGGGCTGTGTTTTATGGCACCACGAATTGTGAAACATAAGTCACATTTGTATCTGTTCTAGTAGAAAATTTGCAATGTTTTATCAATCAAAGTTTAAGAAAAAAGAACCCGTCTGTTGGGCCACATCCTGGCACAGCCCATTTGGATCTGAGGAGCTGCCCCTCACCACTTACCTTAGTCACTGCTGCTCTCGGCACTTGGAAGAAAACACTGGCCAGTTTTAGCCATGCCCCTCAAAGCCTATGAACAGGCAGATGCCACAGATCTGCCACCAGTCTCACACGCTTTTGAGCTCAACTGGTTGACAGCAGAGTCCTCGTGTCCTGTGTCCTAACAAGTTTACGTCACCTTGACACTCCTCGGGTCACTGGAGAGGAGGGAGCCTCAGTTAAGAAAGGGCTCCGTGAATATCGGGCCACAGGCAAGCCTGTAGAGCATTTTCTTCATTAGTGATCGATGGGGGAGGGCTCTGCCCATTGTGGGTGGGGCCACCCCTGGGCTGGTGGTCCTGGGTTCTGCAAGAAAGCAGGCTGAGCAAACCATGAGGAGCAAGCCAGTAGGCAGCACCCCTCCATGGCCTCTGTACTGGTTCCTGCCCAGTTTGAGTTCCTGTCCTGACTTGCTTAGATGATGAACAGTGTAAGCCAAGTCAACCCTTTCCTCCCCAACTTGCTTTTGATCATGATGTTCACCTACAGCGTGAATCCTGGAGCTAGATATCAGGGTGAAAGCTGAAAGATCAGAGAAGCAGAGCAGCAGCCACTAGTTCTCACCTCTACGGAGAAATCTTCAGCTGAAAAGAAACTGACTCCTGTCTCCTCCTGCCTTATATTCCTTTCTCTGCCCAGCCATATCACTTTCTCTCTCAACCTCCCTAGTGCTGGGATTAAAGGCATGTGTGCCTCCCAAATACTGGGAGCAAGGGCATGAGATCCCAAGATTAAGGTGTGTGCCCCCACTGCCTGGCCTCTATGGCTAACTAGTGGCTCCCTGGCTTTGCCCTCTGATCTTCAGGCAAGCTTTATTTGTTAGAGCATACACAAAATATCACCACAAACCTCAAAGGAGATACCCTGGGAGTCTAGAAAATCATCTTGGGGGATCATAACAGGAAACTCAAATTTAGCTTGAGTACTCTTCCCATACAATTGGCATTGGTCACTGGGGAAGAATTTTGAACCTATATTGGGACTCTATTTTTAAAAAGCCAAATGCAGGGTGCCTATCTATAGTGTGGCCTTTGGAAGTCTGACACAGGAGACCACAAGTTCTAGGCCAGCTTGGCCTTCATAACAGAATTCTGTCTCAATCTCAAGAAGGAGGAGGAGGAGGAGGAGGAGGAGGAGAAGAAGGGCTGAGATCAAGTCATGGATATGGAAAACATCATGGTGACTCATGGGTAGCTGCCATCTTGCCTGAGGATTTAACTGCCATGGCAAGACTCACAGTGTATATTGGTTAAATACTGGAAAGCCTGGGCTTCCTTGTTCTGGCCTTTGGGGCAAGTTCAGGTCCTTTTTAAAACTTTGATCAACCATTATTATCTCATCTCTGTTATCTCTATGAAACAAACAGGGCTATAGTACTGGCTGCTTCCCAAGCTCAGTTCCAACACCCATGTGATGGCTTATAACTGTAAGACCTGTTCCAGGAGATTCAGAGCCCTCTTCTGATCTCCATAGATACCAGACACACATGTAATACAAATACATTCATACAGGCAAAACACTCATACAATAAAAGAATTTGTTTAAAAAAAATGTTAAAGCTACCCAGGCATTGATGGCATACATTTTTAATCCCAGCACTTGGGTGGCAGAAGCAAGCAGATCCCTGTGAATTCCAGGACTGCTGTGGGATGGTCTTTCTGTATGCTGTGAGTATGTGTTGCTCCCATTGGTTAATAAATAAGCTGCTTTAGCTTATGATAAGGCAGGATAAAGCCAGGTGGGAAATCCAAACAAAGAGACAGAGGAGATGCTGTGTAATAGATGTAATAGAACACAGGTAAAGCCATGAGACATATGGCAATACATAGATTAATAGAAATGGGTTCATTTAGATGTTAAAGCTATCTAGCAATAAGCCTGAGCCATAGGCCAAACAGTCTGTAATTAATATTAAGCCTCTGAGTGATTATTTTATAAAAAAAAAAAAAACAGCTGATGCCTGGGTGGGACCTGATGGGACTGAGAAACTTCAGTCAACACAGGACAGTAAGGGCTACACAGAAAAACCCCTGTCTTCAAAACAAAACAAAACAAAACAAATAAACAAAAAGTGTTGAAGCCATGTGAAAATAATAAGCACAACCTGTGTTACCTTGAATGAAGAAAGCCAGGCACAAAACTCATGGCAACTTTCTGCCTTTTTCTTTCAAGTGCTGGAATTATAGACATGAACCACCATGCCCAGCTGAATCTCTTTCTTCTTTATTTTTTCAGTGCTAGGGATTGAACCCAGGGCCTTTGGTGTGCTAGGAAAGCACTCTCCCACAGAGCTAAATCCCCAGTCCTACAAATCTTTGTTTTACATCCAAAATAATTTATTTATGCCAGGCATATTGGCTTTTATCTTTGATCCTAGTACTCAGGAGGCAAAGGTAAGTGGATCTCTGTGAGTCTGAGGCCAGCCTGGTCTACATACCAGTTCTAGGTCACACAGGGCTACATAGTGAGATCTGGGCAAATTCAGCAATGGGGATAAGACGACTGGGGTGTGTGTGTGTGTGAAAGGGAGATGTGGGCTGGAGGGGGCCTCTATGGGACAGTGATGGGCTCAGCCAAGTCTATGTAAACCAAGTGACAACACACTGGAGGAGGCACTCAGGCTCCAATGATGACCTGTGATCACTCCCTGGACCTTTACTTAGAGACACTCACTCACTCACCAAGGGAAGGGGCTGCTTCCAAGTCCACGGTTGATGGAAGGAAGGTCCATGTGTGAGAGCCAAAGTTACATTTTAAGTTTTAATTACTGTGCCTAAGAGATCCATGAAAGAGCTGGGCGGTGGTGGTGCACGCCTTTAATCCCAGCACACGGGAGGCAGAGGTAGGTAGATCTCTGTGAGTTCGAGGCCAGCCTGGTCTACAGAGTGAGTTACAGGACAGCCAGAGCTGTTACACAGAGAAACCCTGTCTTGAAAAACCAAAAAAAAAAAAAAAAAAAGGAGAGAGAGAGATCCATGAAAGAAAAATGTCTCTGGTCTGCAAGCCCCTTGCTCAAGGACAGACAGTTCCTGAAATAATGTCTGTGGGAGATGACAAGCCACATGTTTTTCACGTGTTTGTTTCACTCATCGGCACTGATGTGCTCGATCACATGTGGATGAGAGGTTCATAGGCAGGAAATATGTCAGGATTACCCTTGCCCCTGATTGGACCTTATGGGAAATGTAATGAATGATGGGTTTTTGCCAGAGGCCACGATGCCAGAGGCCATGTCAGAGGAGCAGCAGGTGGTGATTGAGGTTCAGGGTGTTGGCCCACCAGGAGGAAACCCCCTGATGGATAGTCTCCGTTAGGCAAGCGCCCCGCCCGGACCCCAGAATGTCTTTTGCTTTTTCTGTCCCTTAGCATGCTTGTTCTCTCTCTCTCTCTCTCTCTCTCTCTCTCTCTCTCTCTCTCTCT